ATTTTCAGATGGCAAACTACAAATACAGAATGTATCTATAGTACACTAAACCTACAGACGTCTTCGCAAATTTCGCAAAACTGAACTTCTGTCTAACCGCAGTGTATTGCATAAAAGAAACTTTGGTTTGATGCATGACTACAAGGATTCATGGTGTAACTTCTGCGTGACACCTTACGAGAAATTGCACACTGTCGCCATTTGAAAGCAGCACAGCCGGGCCTTGAACTACAAGCAACTGATTAGTTTAATTAACAGAGAACATAGTCGTGCGTAAACGTGCAGTATATACCTTTGGTGGATGGTTGGCGTTGCTTTATGCGCCGACACTCCCTTTTTTCCTGATGAGTTGGGTTTGAAGTGCTCCTGCATGAACGCACGCCCTTTCAGTCACTACACAACAAAAGCCAAACCATCTGCGGAAGTCGCTGTGACAGACAGGAAGTACAAACTTAGCGATATACAAGCGATGAGGATGAACGTGTGATGCGCGGAATAGATTTGTCAGAACGGGATGAAGACAATCCGTTTGGTTGTCAGATCGTTTTGGCTGTGTGGGCGGTGACAGACCGATCTTATGAATATTAATATATTACTTTTAACGTGCTAACCAACGAGCGCCCAGTCATTCACGTAAGGTAATTAATATTCATAAGCCAAGGTTCTGCTTCTTAAAATGGAAATAAACGAGGCGGCGATTTTGTAATAGTGACAAGGAAACATTTTTCATTATTTTTTTGCCATTATATATGCAAAGATCCTTTAGATGGACAACGTCAAAACCGTTATTCAAACATATTATTCTTATAATTACATATTACAACATGATACTGAGAGACAAGTGGCGCCTTTTCTTTTTTCTTTCTTTCTTATTAAACTGAAAATTTTTATTTTTATGTAATTTTTTAATGTTCTTAATATTGTTTGCATAATGTGATCAGTTAAACATCGTAAAATGTTGATTATATACTCTGAATGAACACTGTTCTTAATATTGTTTCTAATGATTATATACATTTCTGTTAAAAATTCATATAATCATAAGATAAGTAAACGCAGCAACTATACAAATTAAGCAAATACAGAAATGTAAATCTAAAATATAGAGCAAATTAAATGTGCAACTGAAAATTTGAAACATGCTCTTGTTGTGGTACCATGTCCCAAAAACATATTAATACCATAGCCTGTTTGTTTTATTTTCATTTTTTGTTACTAACTTTATATATCATTTTGCCAATTTATTTATATATATATTTAGTATATTGTTTCATATAGATGTGCGACTTTTCTATTTGAATATATTTGAACATGTAATTTAGTAGCAGCCATTACTCCAGTCTTCAATGAAATTATTCAAATAGAAAACGGTTCTTTTAAATTATAATAATATTTCACAATATTACTGTTTTTTTCTGTATTTTTAATCGAATAAATGCAGCCTTGCTGAGCATAAGAGACTTCTTTCAAAAACACTAAACACATTTTGTTTTTTTCAAATGGTGCATTGTATAGGCATAAACTCCCAAAAAAAACAAAAAAAACAGACAAGATACAGCAAAGACTCTATTAAACTAAAAGTTTATTGCCATTTTCAACTTTTGAGTACTTTGCACTTTAAGCCTTATTAAGCTGGTTTTGATTTTCCGCTGCGAGACAAATTAGCATTCTATACAAAATATGCTGCCAGGGCTGCCATTTTATCTTTAGGCTTTTTAGGATTCCCTCTCCCCACAGGCCTCCTCCCTCTTCCCTTCCCTCTCCCTCTGCGGGCTCCTCCGGCCCGGTGCATGGGATGCCGCATGGTCGCATGTTTCAGCTCCACCAGATCCTGGAACACAGGGTCGCAAAACACACAGCCAGTGTGCTGCGTTTCACCATCAGGCAACGGCGAGCGTGTCTTGTTGAAGTCCACTATGACCAGGGAGGCTTCGCAGGAATCACAGCTGTCCTGGGACACCTGCACTTTATGGGCGTGCTCGAAGAAATGCACCACAACGTTGCATTTGTTGCAAGCCATGCGCCACTTTGGACCCGAGGTGGGATCGAAGACCAGGACGCCCGTCTCACATTCAACACACTGGCCAATGCCAAGAGAGTTGAGGGAGTGCTGACAGGAAGGGTGGGTGCACTCATTACACCCCATCCCTGACCGAAATAGAAAGAGAAATGACATAATAAGGGATATTCTTCAAGTACGAGAACGTTTACATTTCTTTTCATGTTTTTAAGCATTCCCTCCCCCCGCCCGTTTCATTTGCCAGAATGTCAGAATCCCTCACCCAGTCTTTTTAACTGCAGCTCTATGATAAATTTATAAAAAGCTTACATTTTTCGAGGTATATTTTGTATTTTATATATTTACCCTATGGGCTATTTTAAAAAGGGGCTCCTTGATATGTCCCGCCCTGTCTTCCTGTTTCAGTTAAAATGACCGTCAACACATAGAGTAACGCTGCGTGTTTCTAAGCATTTCAGGGGACCTTTAAAGGTAATGTTCTCTTCAAAATTGAGCAAAAACTCAATATTGTATATAAAAATATAATATTGTTGTATAAAATCACATTTAACTTAAACTCGTGATATTCGGGACAAAATGAGCACTCGTTTGATAGCCTACTGCTCTTGCTGCTCGTGTGATATCGCTTATGGTATGATAGGCCTATAAATTAAATATGAGACAAAAAAACTCATACAGGGGCATTTTTTGCACCAATATCTTGAATTTTAGGGCATAACTGCATTTATGGACTCGTTGCCCTGCATCATATTTGTCAACAGTCAAACGTACAGGTTTGGGGGCGGGGCCAGTGCGTTAATTTTAATCGCGTTATCTTTTCATAACTAATTAATTAAGTTTATCCCTAATGTAAAATAAATAATTTATACTTAATATTTAATACAAATTATTTCATGTTTAATTATTTAATAATTGTTTATTTATTTATTATTTAATAATATTCAATAACTACATTTTCTACAGTTGATTTCATTTGGAAACAAAACGTTTCTTTTCATTTTCATAAACTTGAAAGATGGTTTATCCAACCATTTAAAAAAATATATTTAATCCAAAGGTTGATCAAGGGCATAATCAGATCTCTCATTACTGGATACGTGGGAAAAAAATGTAAAGTACATAAAACACAGTTTGAAAGAAACCTAATTGAAGAATCACTTTAAAACAAGTTGATTTGAGAATCAAAGCTTTTTAGTCTCTCCTACCTTTCTTCATGTCTCTGAAAGGAGGGTTGCTGAAGCAGTATGGACACACAGGGTAGCTTTTGCCACGGGACCCCGAGGTCCACAGCACCAGCTCAAACTCATCCAGAGGACACTTGAGCTCCTTGTACAGCTTAATGGCTCCATTCTGAGGCAAACTGTAGGTCTCGTCACAGTGAGAGCAGTGCAGGCGACTGGGTTTGGCCTGGGGGTGATTAAAAAAGACAGTTACTTTATATTTAACACTACATCATGATAAAGCTGTAAAAAGCAATCTGGGTATCATCTGACTCATCTTTTTGCAGTTGTAGAATTCGTTTTATGTGCATTTATTGGAACATAATATTGAATACTTATGAAAATATATTTGAATAATAATAATAATTATTATTATTATTTTAGAGCTTTTTTTAGATGTTGCATTTGAGCAGACTTTTTAGTAAATAACGCTTCTCCATGTTAAAATTCATAATTGAAAAAAATATTGATGGTGGAAAACACAAGTCAACTACCAGCATTTATTGAATTTCAGTTTATAACTTCATTTTCCACATATTTTACCATCCAAAAGGAAGAAGTAACAGTAAAGACCTCCATACTGTGGCTGGACTTCACTTGAAAAAATCAGCATTAATCTCCCTTATGCAAGCGGTGGACATTGAAGCCCATTTAACAGGGACATTAGACCAACAGCCTAGAGTCTAATTTGAATGATGAGGGACACTGATGAATAATGTGTGAGTTATTCCACATTCAGATGGACACAGGACAACATTTAGGTAAAATGCTTCCTTGTTGAAGGTCATTTTCAGGTGCTAGAGAGATGAGAGGCTGGGCTGAAAGCCCAAAGTGCATCAGAGCAGAAAAGAAAAAAAACACGTGATTTACAGCAACATGATCATTCGGATGGTAATTAGGATCAAAGTTAGTGTGCATATGTGGATGCTCTGGGATCTCCATCCATATCAAATGAGTCATCAAAAACTTTAGCTGCATTACTCACTGCGAATAATCAGCATAATTTCCTCTCAACTTGAAGTCAGATGTTTAAAAACGGTATTTTTGATGTACAAAGCATTGTGCACTATATACACAGTACTGTTCAAAAGTTTCGGGTCAGTAAGATTTCTTTAAAGAAATTAATACTTTTATTCAGAAAGGATACATTAAATTGATCAAAAGTGACAGTAAAGACATTTATTATGTTACTGTTTCATATAAATGCTGTTCGTTTAAACTTTCTATTCATCAAGAAAATACTGAAATAAAATCAAATGCATCACGGTTTCCACAAAAATATTAAGCAGCACAGCTGTTTTCAACATTGATAATATTAAATGTTTCTTGAGCAGCAAATCAGCATATTAGAATGATTTTTGAAGGATCATGTGACAGAAGACTGGAGTAATGATGCTGAAAATTCTGCTTTTTTTTTAATTACATTTTAAAAAATGTTAAAATAGAAAAGTTATTTTAAATTGTAATCATATTTCACATTCTACAAAAAAAATACAAATAAAAATAAATGTTTTTTTTTTTAATTACCAACCCCAAAACAAAAATCTGTTTTCATAGTAAACTGAACTCAGACCTGAACTACAGATCATAGCATGTACAGACTTTTTTTGCTGCTTTCTTTGTCAACATGACCTTTAGTTTGAACTGATGACAGTATGGTAAGATGGAGGAATGTTACATATTTAACCAAACACGCTTGTCTCAAAATGGTCCAAAGTTCAGTTCTGCACAGCACTCAAGTCAAATGATTGCAACACCATGTCTGGGGCTTTGATCCATGGCCCTGACCCTACCATTAACTCCTGATTTGGAGACATCATAGAGGGCTTTGACCAACAATTTTCGAACATTTCTGGAATGTTTCAGAAATTTCCTGGTAATTTTACACCTTTTTGCAACCCTAGTCCTAAACACATTCATCAAGGCTACAATAATATGATCAAAAATACAGTAAAAAGAGTCATATTGTGAAATGTTACTAGTAACATTTCCAGAAAAAGAAAGCAAGAATGCAGTACAAGTAAGAAGTCAACACGAGTCGTTACAGACCTGGATGTACTTCATGAAGCGATGGCATTTGCCACAGCGCGAGAGAGGTTTCCCAGTAGCGGCGATGGGAGAAAAGGACACTTCCATCAGCTCATCCATTCCTGTTAAAAACATTCCGAGCATGATTTAAGAGTCAATAATTAGCAAAAACAAAGCAATACACATTGATAAGTGATTAGTAGTGTTAGAGCAACATCTCTAATGCCAAATTTACACTGCAAAGTTGGCACAGAAGCGCATCTGATATGTTCAAAGTATTTACACAGCCATTACAACTGTATACTTTGATACTCTGGGCTGAGGTGGGTCTGACCAGGCATGATTTAGTCTGACTTTTATGCAGCAATCATATAAACATGGAGTTTCTCTGAGAACGTTCTGAAATGTATTTTTAATATGGTACAGAAATACAGCAGTAAACTAATTCTTTGCGTAGATTCATTGTGGGACATTACCTGCAATAGAGTCCACAAAGTAGTGAAACTTCCTCTTGAAGATGTCCAGAGTGTGCTGTAAGACCTGGTGGAAGTTTGCCTTTCCTAAAGCTATCAGATTTAGCAGTTTTTCCACAGCACTGCGGATTGTGGGCAGCACCAAATCTGCATCTAACACACACATACAGATGTACAAGGACAAATGTAAGTTTAACAAATGAGTCATGCACACACCAGCAAAATACCTGAGGTTAAAATGTTTTTTCTTACCAATCTTATAGTAACCATGAACCAGAACAATCCCCAGGTTGGTGGGTTTGAGTTTGCGGCCACTTTCAACCGTCACATAGTTCCTCTGGCAGATGTTGTTAATGTGGACAGGGATGCTGGCATCCGTACCTAGTGGCACAATCATTTGTTAATGCAGTCCACATAATAACTTTTACAATTTTCAGAAAAAAAGGTCTGCAATTAAATGTTCCTTAAAAAAAATACTTCACTTTACTCCCAGTTACTCCCAATTACTACCAGTTAAAGTTTGGCAAAAATCCTGCGTCACGCCAGATCCGTTTCCTACGTTGTTGTGATTTGATCTGAACGGAAACAGCGTATCCGTGTGACGCAGCTG